TATAAAATATTCACCACAGTCTCCTGGATAGAAGAAAATCCAGGGGCCTGAATGTTAACAGAATGCTAAGAGTGCACAAAGGTAAGGCTATTTTACTCTACATGGAAACAATGTAAACTGGTAACTGACACTAGCATGGCACTGGCCACGTGCCAGGAAATGAACTGTGCGTTTTATGCTTTAACTCATTTGATCCTCAAATATCCAATGCTTTAGGTGCACTTTTACTAACTCACTTTTCCAAATTGGAAAACTAGCCACAGAGAAGTTGAATAACTTTCCCAGAAGTATACAGCTACAAGTGGAAGGATTAGAACTGACAACCAGGCATCCAAACCCCTGCTTCAGATATTGTTACTCAAATAACTATTATTTGACTTGTCTCCTTTGGAATGGAACTTTTTGTAAAAGGAGGAGGCAGCGGCAGGGGGAGAAAAAGAAAGAGGGAAAGTGAGAACAGAGGAAAAAGGCAGGAGTAAGAGATGGAAATTGAATCTCTACAGGAGAGAATATTGAAGAGCTGAGTTGGTTAAAAATTGTTAAGAAACACTTGGTAGTTGGAGAGATTTAAAGTTTGAAAAACACAGTAAAAATCACTGGCTAATATAAAACTGGGTATATTTTTCCTTTGATACCAAGAGAAACCTTGGTAAATTCTATATAGTTTATCTTAAAGAGTGTTAGGTTTATTTGTGAAGAAAGTAAATGAGATGCTGAATTTCCTCTTAGCTCACATAGCCTATGTAAACAGTGATTCCCCTCAATGCCATACCATGTGCATGAAACAATATGAAACTAATACAATGCATGGCAATCCTTCAAAAAATAAGCTGAAGTGTTTCGAATGAAAAGAATATGAAACTAATGAAAGCATTTTTTAGTACCATCTCTCATCTCATTGGGAATAGATCATTAGTGAAATAATTTTCTCATATGAAACAAGCATGTTTTTAGGAAATGGTTATAATGTATGTTCACTGAGATACGAGAATACAACTTAAAGGAATAACAAAAATCTATAGAAAAAAGGAGGCAAAAAAGATAACATGAAACTGCTAAACAGACCACATAAAAAAATCATTGGCAGCAGGAAACAAGACATAACAGGGGTTCATTCCTCAAGAATCTGTTTGGTATTCTCTACCATACATCTTCCACTTCTCAAGGAAGAATTTCTGTTAACAAGGAATTTCAGAATAGTTCCTGCCTACACAAAGATCTTCAGTGGCAAAGGCCATCAAATATTCTTTCCTAAAACTTTAGGAAGGGCAGAAGTAATTCTACATTGTGGGGAAGTAGGATTTTCCCCCAGGCATATCTGTGACCACAGAGATGAGAGAGTTGATCCTTCCTGCCACAGCAATGCTCATAGCCCTTTGTAAAGGAAGGGCCTTCAGTAAGTGGCCATGGGTGAACAGGACTCCATGCTGTCAGTTAATTCTTTCCTAAGCACAAGATCACCAAAGCAGGCAGAATCTGCATCATGAATCATCATAATTTCTTATTCTAATTTCTAAAGGTGACAGAGGCAAATTATGCCCAAAGTGAAATTTCTAATTTCTCAATTTTTAAAGCTTAAATTTCCCAATTCTGCTGATGACACTAATTAGAGACGTTTTATTCTGCCACGAAGGCAGTAAATTACAATCAGCACAAACCATCCATATTTTGACTTTTCCAGTGACCTTCTGTATTTTGCTCATTAGTAATCTATAATCCATCAACAGGGGATTCTATACTTACTACACTGAACCATTTTCAAATATATGATCCAATTTATTTCATCTGCAGTCAAAAGGCTTATGTTTGATTGCAAGTTTTTTTTTTTTTTTTAAATCAGCTAAGTTATACGAATCTACTTAAACTGACAATGCTAAACACTACAAAGATACGAAGCAACTGAAACCCTCACACACCGTTGGTTGGAATGATGCAAAATTAGACAGTCACCTGCTAAAGAGTTTGGCATATACTACACATACGATCCAGCAATGACACATTTAGGTATTCACCCAAGAAAAAAAAAGCCATGTCCGTAACATTACGTAAGTGTTTACTGCAGTTTCATTCATAATTTTGAAAAAGCTGAAAACCCATTCAATGGGTGAGTGGTACACAGTAAGTCAAACACTACTCAGCAATATATAGGAATAAACTTTTGATACACCCAGCTGTCTTACATTTCAAAGACCTCATGCTGAGAAGTCATACTTAGGCTACATATTTTATGCTTTCATTTATGACAACCTAGAAGAGGGAATATCAAAGGAACAGATCAGATTGGTGTCAGACTGACGAGTGGGGAAAGGGGACTAGCTATGAAGACTTTAGGGGTGATGTCAGATATAATATTTCTTGATGTGGTTGATATTGCATGAGTATACACGTTTGTCAAAATTCATAGACCACACCAAAAAATGTGATGACTCTGTACTTACCACTCTTAATATTTCTCTTTTCATATAGGGAAAATTTAAAAAAAAATTTTAAACTTCAGTTTCTTCCTCTGGGGGTTACCCAATGGTAACTTCACAAGGTTGTCATCAGGATCAAGCAATATGATGCCAAAATATTTCCTAAACAGTACGTTACATGCAGTATCTGTTACCTGGGTAGACAACAGGTCACACACGTTGTTGCCTCTTTCCCAGAAGAATTCTGTTACTTGCCCGTCTGCACTTACTGGTACAGTTTGTCGTTTGAACTAACCGCTAGATTCCATTTCTGTGAGTTAAATATTTTCTTTTCATATTTTTGTTTGCATCCATCCTATGCAGTAAAAAATAACCCAGTAATTTTAAATCTTAATTCCTTTGAAAAAGGGTATTTTCTCCATAAAATTGAACATATATATATAAACTTTTATATTCAACTATACATGCTTAACAATCCTGGGGGAGCCCATTTGCTTGGTTATATGTTGTTCCTTGTAAAGTAGTCCTCTCGTAACAGTGGTTTTGCTTTCCATGGTTTCAGGTACCCATGCTCAACCATAGTCTGAAAAGAAATGGAAAATTCCACAAACCAATAATGCATAAGTTTTAAATTGCATACTTCTGAGTAGCTTGATGAAATCTTGTGCCATCTTGCTTTGTCCCTTCATCAAAAGCAGTATGAGATATCTCGAGAGGAAGGTCACATTCACATAACTTTTATTAGAGTATATTGTTATAATTGTTCAATTTTATTGTTCATTTCTGATTGTGCTTAATTTATAAATTAAACTTTACCATAAGTATGCATGTATAGGAAAAAAACTGTATATACAGGGTTCAGTACTATCTGTGGTTTCAGGCATCCACTTGGGGTCGTGGAACATATCCCCAATGTGGGTAAGGGAGACTACCATACTCATGAATTCTCCCCTCTGATGGAAACATCCTCTCGTATCCATCTTAGGCAAAAACTTCCCCCCCCCCTTTCATCCCAATTTTTTGTGGTAAGAAGACTTAACGAGACTTAATGAGAAATATCCTCATATCAAATTTGCAAGTGCCCAATGCAGTACTGTAGCCAGTGTCTTAAAGCAGATCTCTAGAATTCAGTCTTGCATGACAAACTTTATACCTGCGGAACAGTTACTTCTATTTGCCCTCCCCTCAATCCCTGGCAACCACCTTTCTATTTTCTGTTGTTATGAGTGTCACTATTTAGATGTTTCATAGAGTCATACAGTATTCAGTCCTTTTGTAACCAGCTTATTTTTCACTTAAGCATAATGTCCTCCAGATTCATCCATGTTGTAGCATATGGCAGGCTTATCTTCTTTATGGCTGAAAAATATTCCATTATGTATCTATACTACATTTCTTTATTCATCTGTTGATGGATATTTAATTGTTGCCATATCTTGTCTGTTGTGATTGATGTGGTAATGAACATGGGAGTACAGCTATCTCTGGAAATGTGATTTCAATTCCTTTGGATGTATATGCAGAACCAGAATAGCTGGATAACTGCTAGTTACTCTGGCTTTATTTTAAGAACTGCCATTCTGGTTTCCACAGTGGCTCTACCATTATATAGTCCCACCAATGCTATGCAAAAGCTTGGCAGTGATTTCTCCGATATAACACCAAAAGTAAAATTAGACAAGTAGGAGTATTTCAGAGTATAAGCATTCTACAAAGAACAGAGAGAAAAGGCAACTTACAGAGTGGGAAAAAATATTTACAAGTTATAATCTAATAAGGGATTAATATAAAAGTATAAGGACTCCAATGACTCAAGAATAATGACCTGATTAAAAATAGGCTAAGAACATGATAGACATTTCTCCAGAAAAGACGTATAAATGGTTAACAGGTACATGAAAAGATACTCATCACTAATCATTAGGGAAATAAAAATCAAAATCATAATGAGATATCACCTCTTACCGGTTAAGATGGGCATTATCAAAAATCCAAAAGATCAAAAGTGTTGAGGAAGATGTGGAGAAGCGAACCGTTCACCGCACCTTGAATGATGTGGTTTTCCTAAGGATTGGCCAGGAGAACGAGCAGGTAAGGCAGCCCTAGGTTTTTCTAATTACAAGTGAGGACACAAGGAGCCTGTATTTTAAAGCCTTTGCGGGTCTGGGGGGTGGTGTTCACAAGCTACCCAGGACAGAGCCTCCTATCTCATAGAAAAAGCCAGGAGAGAAGACAAGCAAGCCTGCAGACCATGGAGGAGAAAGAATCCTGAGAATGTGAGTTCTACTACCCTTACTGTCCTGCACTTCACATGGACGACATACCCAGTGAAGATTAGCTCCATGCCCTCTCTTTAGAATGGTTTGTATCTTATGAGTTAGGTTTGAAGAGGGTTTTTTTGCAACTAAATGAATCTTGATGAATAGTCTATAGATCCTTAATAATCCCCAACATAAGTCAGGAGAGTCATCAACTCCTATATTGAAAGCTAAGATGTTCCATGCAATCACCTATCATTACTTTTAACAAAAACCCTGGAAGCCTATAATTAATTATCCTATTATCACATGATATAAATAGCATAAGCAGGATTTTAATCAATTGCTTTATTTTTCTATTCTTCCACCAGTGCATATAAGCGAGGAGCATGTGTGTCACCTCAGCCTCTGAGGACTCAGCAGGTGATAACAGTCTGTGCATAATCTCTTGTCCCTTGTTGCCAATAAGGATTTTTAATTAGGAGAATTGGAAATTGGGTTCTACATAATCTGGCTCCGTTTCCTCTGTGATCTCAATTCTGCTACCGTTCAATTGCTCACTTCACTCTAGCCACCCAGCCACCCCATTGTCTGTTTTACAAAACCTGCTAGGCAAGATCCACCTAAAGTCCTTTTCATTATTCCTTGTTTCTTCTTTTCTAAGTTCTCTGCCATTAAGTTTTCCTCTCGGCTAATTCCCTCAGCTTCAGCATCGTTTTGCCAAATAAAGGCTCCTCTGGACATTTCATGAAATAATGCAAACATCTCCTCTAGTTTTTCCCTGTTCTCTTCCTCAATTTTTCTCTAGAAATTATCATTAACATCCCTCACTTCTTATTACTCATCTCCCACATTGGAGTGCAAGTTTCATGAGGACAAATATATTTGTCCATTTTCTTTATTGCTATAACCACAGTCCCTAGGAAAGCGCCTAGAACATGAGGCATTCACATCAGAAAGTGGTGAATAAATGAGTAAATAATGAATCTCGCATTTACATTACAATTAGTTTTTGTTCACCGAATACAGAACTCACTGATGAAATATTTGAGGGTTTCATAGTAGTTCTAGTAATAGTAAGACTGCAATTCTACCCAAATTCCATACAGTCAAGAGTATCCTTATGGGCAGGAGTATCTGTGGAATCCAAGGACAGAATACAACGTAGGTCCTGGTCTTACGTGGTCTGTTCGAGGAAACAGGGAATATATCAGGACTGAAGCAGCTCCGCTCCCTGCCCAGCCCATTCTAGAGCCTCAGGGTCTCTTCACTCCATTTGTGTGTCTACATCCCACTCTTTGCTTCTTGGTAGGCGAGTTTGCTCTATAGTTACTCCTAAGCAGGTTCACAGAACAAAAAAGGGTGAGTTATATGACTTCCACTGGTCAGGTATCCACCCCTATACAATCATCGACGACCAGCACTGGTGAGGAGGGAGCATCACAGGAAAAAATAGGAACGCCTCTAAGGAATGCAGGCAAGTCACATTCCCTTCGGAGGACTATGGGTAGTTCTGAAGAGCTGACAATGAAAAATATACTGAAGCAGATTGTCATTTATAAAGTCACTGATGTAATACAAAAATATAAGTTGGTGATTCTCAGCTGTTTGAGGAGGTGGAAAAGACCTCAATAGATGACATGCATTTTCCCTTCTTTCTACGAGAGAAGAAGAATTTCTAACTCAGAGAAGTGCTGAATGTTAATTTTCTCACATTACTGAGCTTGGCCATTAAATTCACCTAAATATGTTAAAGATCCTCTACCATTCTCCCACTATTTGTCTTTGAAAGACACGATTTTCCTCTATTTGCCCATGCATTCTACCCCCCTCCGTAAGTGAAATTAAAGTCTTAATTTTTTAACTGGTGAAAAAGCTCAGGAAAAGCAGTACCATAATACAAGGAAAGATTTTGATTCAGTAAAGGCAAGTGTAGGAGTTTCACACAAATGAAACAAGAGTTTGTCAACACTTACAAATACATATCCACGAATATGTTCGCACCCTTACCATGGTTCTTTTGTGAAGAAAATAAATGTAGCACCTACAAGCTTTGTTTTGATTTGCAGAGAAGCAGGAAATAGTTTGTGTCTTTCCTTGAGAGGTATCTATTTACTTTCCATTTACATTGATATGCTTTTATTCTGTATATTTTTTTCTTGCACACATTTACTCCTAAATGCCTCTCAAAATCACCAAGGACACTTAAAAAAAAAAAAAAAAAAAAAAGGAAAGCTGCTAAAATAGCATGTACTGCATAGTCCTTAACGCAAATCAACTTTAAAGAATAATATAATGAAACAAAAACAAACCCTAAAGTGAATGCCACAAGGCAATCTGGAATCTGATTTGTCTGGAAAAAATTATAGAAGCTAGAAATGAACTCCACAGCTATGGTTACAGCTTAACAGACCTTTATACAAATGCCAGGGTATTTCTTTGCCAACAGTGATAATTTTGACCACTGTCACATATTACTGAACTCTGAAGTTGTAAATATTTTTATCAGACTGTATGCAGCTTAAAAATAGTTAGATGTTGACCTCTTAAATACATGGGTTAATATTTTTACGAAAAATAAAATCAACTGCTTAATTTCACATGTTTCCTAGTTACCTGAGAGGTTACACATATGAACATTTACTTTCCCCGAGTGACTTTGGGGATGTTACCTAACCTTCTTGAACCTAAATTTATACACCTCCAAAATAGATGCCAACTATTGTTGAGTGTAATTCATAAATTTTTATATTCAGAAAACTTAGCACAGAGCCTGGAACACAGTGGTCAATATTTGTCATCATTTCTATAATTATTATAGCATTAAGATATTTCTGTGGAGTCAAATGGTCTCTATAGTAATCAAATTTTTGAAGGAATATTGTTTACGATTATAGTTGGAAAACTAAAAAAACTAATTTCCCTTTTTCATATGGCAACGAACAGTTTTGAATTACAAACTAATATACGTCTTGAGATTGCAAAGAGGATGTCGCCTTCCGTGAAGAATGAACACATACACTATGGTCAGGACTGCATTTACACACAAAATACATGGCTGAGCTTTTACAGAGGGACTAATGTGGCCATAGCAAATGATCTGTTCAAGTCACAGCTATAATAAACTTGCCTTGATGAAATAAGTTCACACTACTTAAATTTAACCACATCAGATCATTCCATGTTTCATTTCACACCCATAGTAGACAAAGCACTCTAATTGCACACCTCTGAAATTTGACCTTTTCCTCGTCTTTGCATTTTTCTGAATTCTATGAGGAACTTAATACATATGAGTAGCTTTAAAAGAAAAATAGTAAAAACAAGTTGCTACATAATCCTGTCCTTTGTTTTCTCATGGCCATCTTTGACTTGGAGAACAAATCACTTCGAACATTTATCAATATAGAGTGGTCAATCGAGGGCTAGTGGGGGGATCTGTGTTCATAACACAAGTCATTAACCATCTCTATGGTTCTCTCTAAAAACATGATTTGGTTCTCTTCTTGCTCTTCCATTCAGCTTGCTCCCACGCTGAATCATTTGTAGACTACATGTATACATGTCTTTACTGAAATTTCAAAGATAAATAAGAATGACTCTTACGTGATGTATTTCTAGACCACAGAATTTCTTGGGGAAAATATAATCTAAAACCAAAACAAAAAGAAACCAAAGGAGTAACCACTTAAAAATTTACCCTGATTTTACAAAATGTCTTCATTTACCTTCATTGATAAAACCAACCAGAATCCCCAGTCTGGACATGCTTATTAAATATGTATATAAGTATTAATAAACTTGTATTTAAGAACTATCTTACTTTTTGGTAGAATGCACTATTTCCCATACTCCTACATCCTCCTTTTCTGATATGAGAAATGTTTTCCAGAAGCAAAACTGAATGCATATTGTATCATTCACTAAGTTGATATTTGATGCCAATCTCTCTAAACATGTAGACATTGCAGGCAATTAAATTCCTGTAAGATAAGCCATAAGTTATTTGTCATAGCCTATGCAATTTAGTTGCCACAATAAGACTCTTAGGGCTAGAAAATTTTGCAAAGAGCTGTAGGCTAAAGCATCCAAAAATATGAAAGAAATGTAAAATATTTAACATGCATATTTATATTTGCATATGCATATTTAAAATATACAGTTAGCTGGTCAAGAAGAGAAGCAAGATAGTGCACCGGCTGAGAAAAGCAAGACGTCATCTCAGGAGTATACAGACCTAAGAACAACAAAAGCATGTTTCTAAATATGAAGATTCAGACGAGGGTTCCCCTGCTTCCCCACACTTTGCTGTCATGTTTTAACCAGGCCACAGAAACGTTCCCAAAGCTGGCAACCATTGAAATCATCTTCCATGTGCCAATACTATGTTTACCAAGAAATGAAAAGACATTTGTGCCAATAATAAAGTAAACTCTGGCCAGGTGCAATGGGCTCATGCCTGTAATCCCAGCACTTCTGGAAGCTGAGGTGGGAGGATCTCCTTGAGCCCAGAAGTTTGAGATTAGCCTGGGCAACACAGCAAGAACCTGTATCTACAATTTTTTTTCCGATTAGCTAGGCATGGTGGTACATACCTATAGTTCCAATTATTCTGGAGGCTGAGGCGAGAGGATTGCTTGAGCCTAGGAGATCAGGTCTGCAGTGAGTCATCATTGTGCCACTGCACTCCAGCTGGGCAACTGAACAAGATTCTGTCTCGAAATAAAAATTAACTTGGTTTGGCACAGATTCTTGTGTCAAATTTTCCAAAGAACTAGTATCATATCCAAAGGGTATTTTTGGTTCATATTTTAAAGGGTTGTCAGAATACTATTAGCTCTTTTCTACAAAATAGTTCTTTCATGCATTACCTAATAGCAACAAACGGGAGAAAATGTTATTCTTTCTGTAGAATGCCAATTCTATTAATATTGGGACTATAGAAAAACCATTATATGAAACTAGCTTAGAAATAACTAATGCACAAAAAATTCACTAATGGATGTTAAAACCATTAGGTGAAAGTTGATTTCAGAACAGGGTATTTTTGTGGTTTCAAGATTTCTCACCACAGAGCTTATTAACAAAAGGCACAATGTATCTTTAGTGGAGAAATTTGGTGGACACCACCTTAAAGTGACAAAAGATAGCATTACCCTTGTTGGGATAAAATGACAATAGGTGTTTCCTGATATGATCTAAGGACACATCACTTACGTAGTAGTCGGCTAAAAAATGCGTAACTCGCATGGAAACAAGAGGAAAGATTCAGCTAAACTCTGAACAGACCACCACACAACGAATGTCAGTATCATGAAAGACAGAATGTCTGAAGAATTGTCCCATATTAAAGCATATAAGACATGGCAACTCAATGTAAGATGCGACCCAGGTTGGACCACGGGCTGGAAAAAAAGTTGCCATATAGATAGCATAGAATAATTGGAAAAATTTGAATATGGAAGTATATTGGTAACATCACTGAATAATTTTCTAAATTTGATAATTTCACTGGTTATGCAAAAAACTGCCCGTTGTTTGATAAAACATGTTGAGTTTAGTGAAGAGTCATGGTCTCTACAACTTTCACATGTTCAGCAAAAACAATACTGAATAGAGAAAGTAGATATGACACAATGTTAGTGAAGGGAGACGTGGAAATCCAAAAAAGAAGTGCTTATCAAATTTTCTGCAGTTCTATTTTTTTCCAAAATAGAAGTATTAATTAAAACAAGGCCAGGTGTGGTGGCTCACGCCCGTAATGCATTTTGGGAGGTAGAGGCAGGCAGATTACCTGAGGTCAGGAGTTCAAGACCAGCCTGGCCAGCATGGTGAAACCCCATCTCTACTAGAAATACAAAAATTAGCCAGGCATCACAGAACACGCCTGTAATCCCAGCTACTCAGGAGGCTGAGACAAGAGAATTGCTTGAGGCCAGGAGATGGAGGTTGCAGTAAGCCAAGATCTGGCCAACACAGCAAGACTCTGTGTCAAATAAATTAGTTAATTTCAGTGAGAAAGAAAAGTGAGAAGATCAGTCAAGTACTTAAATGTTGTATTCTATAATCTGCCATGCTGGAAACCTAGAAAGAATAGAAGTTGACACTTAAAAAATAACCACTCCTGGTTATTCTCAAACAGGTTATTTTAACCTCTATTATATCCTCTGACCTGATAAAGCTAAAAGAAAAAAAAATTAAGAATCCCTTATAGATTGTCAGAAGTGCAGGCTTCTGATGGGCAGGACCACAGAGAGAGATGAAGCTTCCTTGCAGAAGCTTTTCATTGCCAAGTAGACAGCTTCCTGGAGGTCAGGAGGCAGCTGCAGCAGCAGAGGCTTCTGGATCTGACTTCTATGGAATGCAGTTTCCTCGTTCAATTCTCCACCAGCAGTGGCAGCAGCTTCTCTCCAGCCTAGGTCTAGGTGCAGCCTCAGTGGTTATTACCCTAGAGCAATAATTCTAAAAGTCAGTGATCGGTCTCACCCTAGACACACTGAGTAAGAAACTGGTAGCATGACCCAGCAATGTGTGTTTTAACAAGCCTTCCAGGTGATTTAGATGGAAAGTCAAGTTTGTGTACTGTGTCACCTCATAGGGTCAGTATCCAAGAGACTGAAGGATTGGTTTTGGTTTTAGGACCCCCTTTTTCCCAACCCATGGATACCAAATCAGAAAATGTACAAGTGCCTTACATAAAATGGCATCGTATTTGCATACGATTTATGCATTTTTCTGTATACTTTAATCTCGAGATTACTTATGGTACTTAATACAATGTAAATGCTATGTAAGTAGTTGTTACACTGTAGGGTTTAGGGAATGACAAGGAAATAAAAAGCCTATAATGCAATCAGTACAGACATAACCCAGTGTCCCATAGAAACAGAGGGACACCTGTATGCTGTGTGCTGTTCTTCTAGGACTTGTAAGAAAGGCCCATACCTTCGGATCCCTCCAGTGGATTTGTAAGCTCCAAAATCCTTGCATTAAATTCCATTCTGTTCAAAATCAGTCAGTCCATCCAATATATTACTATTTTTAGAACAATTGTGTAAAGTAGGATGTTATACTGTATTCATAGTTAAAAAATAATGAATTTGTTAGTGATGTTTGGCTGTTTCCACCCAAATCTCACTTTAAATTTTAAGGATCCCCTTGTGTCAAGGGCAGGGCCAGGGGGAGATAATTTAATCATGGGGCGGTTTTCCCCATACTGTTCTCATGGTGGTGAGTAAGTCTCATGAGATCTGATGGTTTCATAAATGGAAGTTCCCCTGCACACGCTCTCTTCCCTGCCACCACATAAGATGTGACTTTGCTTCTTTGCATTCTACCACGATTGTGACGCCTCCTCAGCCATTTAATTAACTGTGAGTCAACTAAACCTCTTTCATAAAGACATACCCAAGACTGGGTAACTATTAGCAGCATGAGAACAGACTAATAGTGTACAATTACTATTGTATCTATATAAGAATGAATTTGATCTGTATTCTTACATCTTATAAATTATGTCCCTTATATTTTCTACAGATCAGTAAGGGCTGGAGAGTATTTTTAAACCCACTGTGCTTCCCACTTGAATACAGCCCTTCTTAGAATAGTGATAACAGATGTAGGAGGAGGAGGAAGAACAGATCAGGTGCATTCCAGATAAAACATTAGCCCTGGGTTTCTGTAGGCCTTTGTCTGGTGATAACGATATTATCCATTAAAAATCTACCATTAGTTTTGGGTGTGGTGGCTCGTGGCTCATGCCTGTAATCCCAGCACCTTGGGAGCAAAGTAGGAGAATCACTTGAGCCCAGGATTTTGGGATCATCTTGGGCAACAGTGAGGCCTTCTCTCTGAAAAAAATTTTTTTTAATTAGCTGGGCATGGTGAAGGTGGAGGCTGCAGTGAGCTGTGATTACATCACTGCCCTTTGGCCTGGGCGAAAGAGACCCTGTCTCAAGAAAACTAGTATTAGAAAATTGGAAAGTAATCAACTACCCTTATCTGTAAATAACTGGGTATTTTTGTCATTACTTCATATTCATAAGAAGGATCTACTGTTCATATAGATTATCAATATAGTGGTAAAAGATCTGGCTATTCTCATTTGATGCTCAGTTTTAGAAACTAAAAATTTTCCAAGAGTAATGATTTGAAAGTGGGACTGTTGGGGTTTTGCGTTTGTTTAGATGGAGTTTTGCTCTGTTGCCCAGGCTGGAGGGCAATGGCACGATCTCAGCTCACGGCAACCTCTGCTTCCCAAGTTCAAGTGAATCTCCTGCCTCAGCCTCCCGACTAGATGGGATTACAGGCATGTGCCACCATGCCCGGCTAATTTTTTATTTTTAGTGGAGACAGGGTTTCACCATGTTGGTCAGGCTGGTTTTGAATTCCTGACCTCAGATGATCCGCCTGCCTCGGCCTCCCAAAGTGCTGGGATTACAGGCGTGAGCCACTACGCCTGGCGCCTGGTTACTTTTAAAGATTAATTTTTAATTGCTTTTGGTGAATCATTTTTCAATAGCCTTAAAAGTTGTTGCCAAAATAAACTGACACTTAATATGTGTATGAAATAAAAATATAATTTTAAGAGCCCTTGAAAGTGCTCCACTGAAACAAGAAACCAAGAAATCATCACTTTACCTGGGACAAGAGACAAATTCAACTAAATCCAGCATTCCTTTTACACTGAAGACTGTTTTCTAGAGATGGGATTTTATGTACATTTTAAGCCCTTATATACCACCCCCCCCCCCAGACTTCCTATCTGTTCAAAAAATGCTAAACTCCTCTTTTAGGCTGGATTTCTATTAGCCACCACACACTGGGGATGGGGGCGCATTAAATATTTTGAGAGTTAACATATTAAGAGAGCTAAAGAGGGGAGATTAAATAAATTACAATGCATTATGAAGGCACATCTAAAACGTTTTCTCATCATTAATGCACTGTGAGAATTGATTTTGATTTACATCTCAGTTTAGTCTATATGATCTCCAGTGAGTGGTCCCAGGAGTCTCTATTTAGTATGGAAGCAAAAGAGACTCTTTCTGTACATTTATGTGAGGAGGTTTTCTAGTTTTGCTCCTGTTCAATAAAAATGGTAGGAAACAATATAATAAATCTGAGCACATATGTTCTGACCTTGAATCCAATGACTGCCAGTCTAATGGCAGGCTAAACGCTTAGTACCTAATATCTGCATCTGTGCCTCCCCGTTAGCTTGTTTTTAATTCTTATGTTGATTAGGTAGAATCACAGTATGATTCCCCTCCTGCAGACTACTCATTTGTATTGAAAATTGTTAATAACATCCTAAAGTCCAATAATATCACAGGGGCCCCCATAGCCTTCATATTCACTTCCGCGTTACTGCACTAACAAGCGGGGATGCGGGAACAGCTGCAGCTCCTGGTGATGCTTATGCAATCAGTGCCGACTTTCCCAGTGGGCACCTCAAACTATTAAAAAATTGTAACAAATTAGGTGATTCTGATGAGTAGAGGTTAAAGTGTTTGCTTCAATTGTCCTTTCTGCTGGTACACACGGGATGAGGAACGCTGAAATTTCCTCGAGAAGATGAAAACACTCCATTTACATTTATATTTATGTACATACTCAGTAGTTTCCCTCCCAAGCTAACTCAGGGTAAATTTATTGAATAGTATATACAATAGATGAGATGTGCCTTTGGGCTTTGGAATCAAATACACTTGAGTTGAATTTTGGCTGCTCTAGTTACTAGTGTGCCTTTAAACAAGTTTCTTTTCACTCTTTGCCTATTTTCTCATCTCAAAAATATAAATAAGCAGTAATCCTTTTGTGTATTTCATGAGTTGTATTTAATGAGAATGCAGATTAAACTGCTTGTGAACAATAAATAACAGCTACCACTAGAGCTAATTAGGAAAGTGCTTTCTGTGGCAAGAATATGCTGTTTCTTGGATTTCAAGTGAAATACATATATTATGCATTCAAATGCATTAAATGTATACTAATACTTTCTAAATTATATCTTTCATTTTGGGATCTTGAGGGGCCAAATTAATGTAGCTCCATGAGTCATTTCAATTATCAAATCAGCAAATAATCTCGTTTGAAATGTGGTCATACATTTACTTAAATATTTTAGATTGATGGTAATTTTGTCCTATCAATCATGTTCTTTCATTTTTCTGGCTTATTTTTGGACTCAAGAGAGTAGTAATTGAAGATTTATGCTTCTGGTGATGGAATAGTTTACAGCTGACCAAAATGTATGCCAAGAACACTAGAAAAGGAAATATAATAAACACATTTGTGAAGGTATCAGAGAGCTGTCAAGGCAGTTAGAACTTCTTGGAGAGAAGGAAAGCACATTGGAGATGAGCCCAACATTCCGTATTTTTAGTCAAGACATTTGCAGATTGTTAAACAGCATAAGGGTAGGATGTAGAAAAACTGAGTAGAAAGTAGCCGCTAAGCAGTGTTCGACCGTCTTACAGGAGGCGGATTCGAACATCAGGGCTCAGATTTCTTAAAGTAGCCAGGACTTGAGGAGGCAAACCCAGCAGGGACGGGAAGAGGTGCAAAGTGAACCTAGCTGCTCCAATTTTCATCTCTAAGCTGTTTGTCAATGGAAAAGGGCCACAGGGTGAGACGCTAAGTGAAGATTGGTCTCGATTTCTAAGAAGAAAAATCAGAACTTTGCAGTTTCACAGTTTAGGAAAGTACAAAACTAGAATTTAGGTTCCCTAAGTAGTAAGGCATCCTGTTAAACAACTTGTAAGTACAGTAAGCAGAAAACAGGCCAGGTTTTATAAAAAATCGAAACCCACTCTCAACTCTGCGCAATCTCGGCTCGCATACATGATGTTGTAAATTAACTACATGCAACCATATATATAAATACATATGTATATAATTATACTTTTATATATACATATATACACACACATATATATATACACACACACACACACATATACGTATGTTTTTTTTTTAGACTGGGTGTCACTCTCACTATCTTCATGTCCTGGGCTGAAACCATCCCCTTTCTCAGACTCCCGAGTAGCCGGGACTATACAGGCGGGCAGCACCATGTCTCCTTTTTCTTTCTGTAGAGATGGGTTTTTGCCATGTTACGTACACTGTTCTTAAACTCATGAGCTCAAGCAATCCTTGCTTTGGCCTAAGTGCTAGAATCACAGGCATAAGCCACTGTGCCAGCCATTATCTTAAGTGAAACAACTCAGGAACAAAAGTCATATACCTCACTTATAAGTGGGAGCTAAATAATGTGTAGATGTGGACATAGAATTGGGAATAACAGACATTGGTGACCAGGCAGGGCTGGCAGAAGTGGGGAAGTTAAGTTACTTAATGGGTACAACGTACATTATTCACATGATGGATACACTAAGTGCCAAGACTTTACTGCTAGGCATATGCATGTAACAAATTGCACTTGTACTTTAAATTTACACACACAAAAAAACCCTACCAGTTTCCAGGAAGGAATATGGTATCATTTAGAACCTGGAATTTTTTTCATACGAAATGTACATTTAGAAGAGTAAGAAATCATTTCAAGAAAACAATAGCAACAATAGTAAACAGTCTGCAATCACCATATTTTGTAGTTCACAGAGAAAGTTTAAAACCGATTTATATCAAGAAAATATGGATCAGTGAGAGGAATTCTGCAGAGAACCGGAATCCAAAACACACTTTTCATGATTTTGGAGTAAGCAAAATTTTCTGAAACTAGATGCAAAAAGCAGTAGTCCTACAGGCAAAGTTTGATAGGTGGCATTTCAAAAACATTAAAAACATTTGTTTATGAAAAGACACCAAAGAGATTAGAGAGGCAAAGCAGAGTGCAAGAAGTTATTTGCAATACGTAACCAGGACTCATATCCAGAATACATCAACAACTTTTAACAAATCACACTTCCCAAATGAGAGCATCCAAGAAACAGTGGATGACAACAGTGGATACAACTGAAAGGATGGCCACATGTTGGAGAGAATGTGGGAGAAGGTAACTGGTATTCTCCTGGTGAAAGGGAAAATGCTTACTGGTACTTTGGACATTTCTTTGACCATGTATACTAAATATGAATATGTATTCACATTTACTGTGTGTGTGTGTATGTGTATGTGTGTGTGTATATATATATTTATTTCATGACCCAGCAATTCAACCACCAGGTATATAATCCAGTTATAATTATATATCTTTTAGTATGTATAAGATTCACAGAAACATTATTTGTAATAGCCCAAGCCCCAGATACCCACCACCTGTAGAATGGACAGATAATTTATATTGTATTTAAGCAATGGAATATACAAAACTAATTTAGCTTCTGCTTCAAGGAACAACTATAATCTCAAATCTAATGAACAGAAGTTTGACACAAAGTATGCTGTGTCATGACGTTTGTAAAAATTTCAAAAACAGAAATAGTCAATTGGTTTAGAAGTCTACATAATGGCTTTGGCTGTAGTTTTGAGCAGGAAGAGCCAAGGAAGGATTTCTGTGGTCATGGTTAGTCACATGGGTAGGCTTATTTAAATGCATCAGCTTGTACACTTGTGATATGTGCATTTATTTGTCTAACAAAGAACTGAGTCCCTGAGAGTCCCTCAAACTTGCCATTTACAGTTATTTATAACGCATCAAACCAAATCACCAGTTTTTGTAGCTTATCTTTGCACATGAACCTTTTCTTTCTATCCAGGGTTTCTCCCTTTCTTAGCTCCCACTAAGTGAAGCCTGCTTTATAATCTTAACTTTCTCAACACAGAACATTGGGAATTTCACCATCTCTTATGTTAGAATAAATTTTTATTGTTATATAAAAGAACTACTTGGCCTGCTGGATGTAATATGAGCTAGATTACGACACTGGTTCTTCCGATTGCCTGAATTATGCCACTCTACTCTGAAGCTTTCTCACAGGCTTTCCTTCATTTGCCAATTTCATTATTAATCTGTCTGCAAAAATCTGGAAGAGTTATGTCCAGGTGGGGAAGGATATGAATACAGAGATACCATATTCTCCCCACCACAATTTTAACAAGGACAATGATTTTCCTAAATTTCAACTGTTGCTTATTTTGCTAATTATCAGCAGAGTCAACCTAAGCTAAAAGTTAACATTCGTATTCTACCAGTGTGGTTTTGTTCTTGCTTTTTAAAATGTGTTTATTAGGGTTAACATACCCTTGGTTCTATGCAATAACACTATTTCTCCCCAAAGAGAAGTTAATATGCTCTAGAAAGATGTTACTGTTACTATTTTTTAAAAAAATCCTCCAACAATCTCATCATGCTTTATCTGTTCTTTTACTTTGCAGCTTTATTGATTCTTATTGAAAATTACTACTATCCTCACTATCTGTACTTTCTCTAAAAGTTTTCAGTCAAAAAAATAGCGCCTTAATTGTCAGCAAACAATATTGCAAGACAGAAGCTATTATCACCTTGTCTATCTGTGAATCAATATCCAGGAGGTATTGTAGCTCAAATCAAACGAACTCTGCAGTCTGGTGTTCTGCCTGGGGAAAAAGAGTGAGATGTAGGGAAACAGGTGAGACCAGCCAGTGAGTAGTTCCCTTCAAAAAGCAGTGTGAGTCTAAACGCTGTCAAATCTCTTTTAGTTTTTAAAATCAGAAAAGGGAAGTTCACTTTATAATGACAGCAGACTAGTTTGTGTCTCCAGTAGTACTGGAATAAACTGGACCCCAAGTCCTAAGAAACAAAAATGTCTGAAGATATTAGAGAGCTACCTTTAGAAGGCTATGCATATTTGCAGGGCCAAGATCTGGAAAAAGAAAAGTCAAGGAATGTGATTGATATACTTCGTTCCATCTCCACTCAAGGCAATGCCAGTTCTGAAAGCAGTTGCTAAGGGACTGAGAGGAGTAGAAACGGCTACAGTTCTATGCAACTGGGAGGAGGAAGCAAAGATGGAGTTTATATTCTCCCACAAAGAAAGGACTGGGGAAACCAACCAGGCTTTTCGTTGGGTTCCTGACATCACCTGAAGTTATAAGTGAACCAGAAACTAGTGCTCACCATGTTGAAACATCTCATTTAAAATAGACTCAATTCTCAAAGACATTAAGGCAACCTACTCCTAATTAGATATTTGCTTGAAGCAGAAATAAATCTTGAAGTCTTGTATTTAATGTAAATATACAGAAATCAATACAAGTTGACATGAAAGACGACTTGACTAAAAAACAAAAAAAAAAACAGGTGCAAAAGAAACGCAATGAAAGTATCAGACACGTACCTCGAAAAAGGTGATAATTAGGACTGGCGTGGTAGCTGACACCTGTAATCCCAACACTTTGGAAGGCCGAGGGTGGGGTGAATCACTTGAGGTCAGGAGTTGGAGACCAGCCTGGCCGACGTGGTGAAACTCTTCTAAAAATACAGAAGTTATCCAGGCATGGTGGCAGGCACCCGTGGTGCCAGCTACTCAGGAGGCTGAGGCAGGAGAACGGCTTGAACCTGGGAGGCGGAGACTGCAGTGAGCCGAGATGGCACCACTGTACTCCAGCCTGGATGCCAGAGTGAGACTTCATTTAAAAAAAAAAAAAAAGATAATTAAAATGTTTATACTATTAAAAAGACAAGATAGGCCAGGCTCGGTGGCTCACACCTGTAATCCCAGTACTGTGGGAGGCCAAGGCGGTGGATCATGAGGTCAGGAGATTGAGACCATTCTGCCTAACATGGCAGAGCTTGCAGTGAGCCAAGATCGAGCCACTGCACTCCAGCCTGGTTGACAAAGCGGGACTAAAAAAAACCAAACAACAAAAAACAACAACAAAAAAAAACTTTATTAAAAGGTTCCAGTGTTTGCCAAAGTGTAAAATGGGAGTTCTAGAAATAAAACCATATAAAATGAAACTAACTGCCAAATGAATGCATATCATGGCAGTTTAGATAGTTTGAGAGTTTTAGATGGGTAGGTGAGAATCAAATACCATGAATAAAGAGTAGTTTAGAAAGTATGTGTTATGTTACGAGTAATTTAAAAGATAGTGAACATGGGTAAAATTCTGATATAACTGCAGTCCCAGACAAGAGGACAAAGATAAGGGGTAGAAGTCATGTTTGAAAATGTAATAGTAGATAATTTTCCAAAATTAATAAAATACACTAAACCACAAACTTAAGGGCTATAAATATGAAACAGGATAATTACTAAAAACACACACGCCCCTTAACACTGCTTAAAAAAAAAAAATCTTTAATACATTTTTTTTCTGGCTAACTAACTTCATAACAGAAACAAGAATGGCTGGATTTGCAAAATGAAGCAATGAAAGCCAAAACAATTTTTCTTATTTCTCAAAAGTACTAAGAAAATAAGTCAATATAAACAGTCAATATATAGAATTCTATGTCTGGTAAAAGATTCTTCAGAAAATGGAAGCAAGACATTTTGAAATACAATTTGAAAGCGTATGTCACCACAGACCTTCACTAAAAGGATTAACAGAAAGTGCTCTCAGAAGGAAAATACTAAGAAAAGAGCAGTAAGTGCAACTAAACAGGTAACTGAGTAAAAGCATGTGATTACTGATTGTATCGACATGACAATGTCTTGTGAAATTTAGAAATTATATTTAACACCAACTGTCCATGAGTTAGGGAGAAAAGTTCCTTAAGGCCCTGGCATTGACTAAGATGGGGCAAAAGTACTAATTTAAATTAGACTTTTAATCCAGAATCCATGCTGCAATCTCTAGAGTAACATCTAAAAATTAAGAAAATAATGTACTATCTTATAAACAGAGGAGGTAAATAATAGTTATTGTCAGTTTCTCTAAAGGAAAGCCTCTGAAGAAAAAAGACTTGTGAGCTGATAGTTTTTGTGGGGACATTACCCAGGGAGCAGGGCAATATGGCAGAAATCAAAGCCAGGAAGCAGTTACTACAGGGATGCGCTACTGACTTGGGCTACAAGGATATGTCCTACCAGGACTGTCTGAAAATTTTAGTGAAATAAATGTCACAGCTGTGTACCTAGGCAATGAAGGGGAGGAAGACAGATTCATCCTAAGTATTGCTCAAGGGTGGTCTCATGGGCATTAGCTTCCCTCTACCCTTGGGTTTTTGAAGGTATCGCAAAACTTGCAGTCTCAGGGAAGCTTCTTCTCAGATGGTAGATTGTGCAAGCAAGTTCAAGACAAGGCATCCTGACAGCACCTGCAGAAAGCTATCAACGTCTTCATGAAACTGACACAGGAAGCAGTAGAGAAAGAAGTGGGGCCAATCACATTTTGAACAAGTATACAAGAAGCTCCATTTAAGAATTCGATGTTGTTCCTGGATATCCACCAAGATTCGCTCTTCAGACCCCAGAGATCCTGTGAGGTACTCAAATTTCTCTTCAGTAACGCCTTGTTTTAAATGATCGAGTGTGTATCTCTTGTATGTGACTAATAATCCAACTGATGGGAAAGAGAATGCCATGAATATTTACGCATAGTCTTGACTTCAAAGAGCCAAATATTTGAAAGTGTATCTCCAAGAAGTAAGACTCCCTGGGAGAGAGAGACATTGCTACAGAATGTAGCTCTCTAAGTGATACTTGGATCTTACCTTTAAATGAGGTGCAGATTTTTAAGTACTTTGAAAACTGTAAGAGTCATCCAGTGAAATCAATGTTTCTGAACAGAGAGCTGTTTGAGCTCAGATATTAAGATACCATGTTCTAGATATGGAAAGCAAGATACAGTCAAGTGTTGATAAAAGATACTTCATCCTACAGAAATATAGAGGCTCCCACTAGAATGTATCTAGGATTACACCTTATATCTAAAGAAAAAATGTTGTATGAAACTTTTATAAGGAAAAAAAACATGCTTGAGTCAGGGCGGAAGCAATATGTTAAAAATAAAGACACGAAATTATATATGCTTAATTTGCTTTTCCCGTTTGCATCAATTATCACTAACCTTTGAAATGTAAAGATAGAAATATTTAAGTGAAACAAAGCATAGGAGGATGTGATAAGACGTACCCGATAATAAGTTTCCAAATTCATAAAAATAGATAAAAAAACTAGTAAAGTTGTGTTTATGGTAATTTAGGAAAGTTTAGGCAGAGTTTCCCAAAATGACAGTTCACCTAGAGACCACAAATAAGATGGAAAGTTAGAAAATTCAGGGAGCGATATGGTTTGGATTTTTGTCCCCACCCAAATCTCACATCAAGTTGGAGAAGGAGCTTGGGTAGGAGGTGACTGGATCATAAGCGCCAATTTCCCCCTTGTTTTTCTCATGGAATTGAGTTCTCACAAGATCTGATGGTCTAAGCGTGTGTGGCACCTCCCCACTGCCATGTGAAGGCGGCCTTTGCTTTTGCTTCCCCCTTCAGCTTCTGCCATGATTGTAAGTTTCCTGAGCCCTCCCAGTCATGTTTCCTGTTAATCCTGTGGAACTGTGAATCAATTCAGCCTCTTCATAAATTACTCAGTCTCGGGTAGTTCCTTACAGCAGTGTGATAATAAAATACAGGAAGAAACTGGAAGACCTGGCAACATTTAGGTTGCAGTGTAGAAAACTAGAGATGAGGAACAAACAAACGGGGTGGGGTCTGTAAATACATACGAGATTGCCACATGCAGGAAAAAGTGCTCACATTTAAACTGTGTGACAAATCCTCCTCTAGATTTCTAGAAGTCATTTTATATATATATATATATATATATATATATATATATATATATATATATATGACCGAGAAACTAGATAAAAAGTAGAACGTGCATTTCTCACACATTTTCAGGTTACGTGTCTTTTACCTAAAGGTTGGCTTCCCATTGCCAACACAACGATGCTCTAACAATCTGCCACAATTCTCCCATCATTGATGCTGGCAAGGAATGCATGTGCATGTGTGATCTGAGGTCACGCTTGAAGAATGGAAATGCTTATTTGCCTTCATGTAATAGCCATAAACCACACCCCATCCTGATTATAACTCCAGAATGAGTGTGCGCATTTGAAATATATGTAAAATATCTATAGTTGATACTCTCACCTCTTTTGACCATTTAATGCTATGGAGAGGAGACAACAGTTATTGATACGTGGGTTCAGAGTTTCAGGTTGGATGACAAAATTCAAGATGGACAGTGGTGATTGTTGTACAACCACATGGCTACAATCAATGTCACTAAAGTGTACACTTTAAAAAGGTTAAATTTTGTTATGTATGTTTTACCACAATTTCTCTCATACTTGAGATGCACTGTCATACTCTAAGCACCTCTGAATCTTAGAGATGCAAGGAGGCAGTTCAAAGACAAAAGGAGAATTCCAGGGAAAGAATCCAATCTCTTCAACTGGGCCCCATGTGGGTTTTCTCACCCACATTGTTATACTGTGTCATATGTACTGTGCTGGATTTTTTCCTACAGTATTCCAGTCATGGCTTTCGAACCATGCCACATGACAATTTAACTGAACTGCATGCAGAGGCCACTGTGGAAATTTCTCAATGGATGGTTTGGTTTAATTACAGAGAATTGAGTATATGGCAAAGGGCCAATTCTGCTCTTTTGATTATTCAAAGGACACTTCTCCGCTGAGATTGTCATTTCTACAGCTCAGAGTTGAACTGTTTGGGCAACTGGAAATAGGTTTGACCTCTAAATGGCAGATTTTAGAACCAGTTTAGCCTATTGTTTCAGAAATTTAAAGAGTACATAAACTAGATAGAGTATCTTTTAACTAATTTCTTACATATGTTTATTTAATCCCATACTAGCCCTTTGAGATAATTACTTCCACTCTTATCATAGAAAATTAATGTCTGCAATCAATTATGGGAATTTTCCACAAAAAAGAATTGCTTTCTTCAGGTATAGAAGGCAGTGAAGCAGGTGTCTGAGTCTTGGAGCCAGCCTGCCTCCACTGGAATCCATGGTCTGTTTATCAGTTGTGTGACCTCAGCAAAATTAGATGAATTCTGGATGTCTCAGTTTCCTCGTACTTCAAAAATGGGGATAACAGCATACCTTTTTCTAAAACTGAAGTAAAATCCTATGTGTAAAATGCTTAGAATCATCAATTTCACTTCTAGGTATATTCCTGAAGAATTACAATTAAAGGCTCAGATATTTGTATACCCATGTTCATAGCAGCATTATTCACAATAGCCAAAATGTAGAGACAACCCCATGTTAAATCAATGAATAAACGAAATGTATGTACAAACAATGGAGTTATTATTCAGCCTTAAGGAGAAAGAAAATTCTGACATATACTCTAACATGAATAAACCTTAAGGACATTATGCTAAGTAAAATATTATTCTACTTTATGAGCTATCTATAATAGTCAGATTCATAGAGACAAACTAGAATAGCGATTGCCAGGGGCTGTGGGGAGGACAGTTATTGATACGTGGGTACAGAGTTTCTGCTTGGATGAGAAAGTTCTGAAGATGGATGGGTGGCGATGGATGTGACTAATCACTAAACTACAGTTGAAAATGGTTACAATGGTAAACTTTATACGTATTTTGCAATCTTGAAAATGCTTAAAATAATGCTGGGAAGAGCGGTTCTCAAATCTGGTGACTAGATCAGCAGCATCAACATCATCCGGGACTTGTTAGAAAGAAAACTCTTGGGCTTCACCACCACAGACCTACCAAGTCACAGGCCTCAAGTATGATGCTTGGCAAGGGAGTTTTAACAGTCCCTCCCGGTGATTCTGAAGCACCTGCAAGTTAAAGTTTATAAGAGGAGATAAGTAGCTGACAAAGATTAGCTGCAGTAACATCACTTATCTTTTTAGATGTTCTTTAGGCCCTTTGGGTTCGTTTTCCAGGGAACATGTTTACTTAAATTCCTCATTTGCTTTCTTTTCAAATACCTACCTTATCTTTTATAGCCAACATGTATAACAGGAGATATTTGGAGATAAAAGGACAGCAAGTTATTTGCAAAATAAGGTATATCTCCAAGGCTTACCTTTTAAAAAATATTGCTCATATTTGAGGTTTACAACATGGTGCTTTATTGATACATATACATGTATACATACAGGGGGGACAATGGCTAACTATAATGAAGCGATTAACATACCTGTCGCCTCACACTGTGTGTGATAAGAGCAGCTAAAATCTACTTAACAAAAATCTGCAATACAAATTAGATGAAATTTGAAATCAAACATTAATGAAAAAAATTGAAGATGTAAATGAAAGTATATTCCATGTTCATGGAAGAGAATATTGTAAACATGTCCATTCGCCCCAGAGCAATATACAGCTTTAACACAAACTATCAAAACTCCAACTGGATTCTTCACAAGAAAAAACAATCCTAAGATTTGTATGAAACAACAAAAAGCTCCGAGTATCTGAGGCAATACTGAGAAAGCACAACAAGTTAGACACATCATACTTCCTGATTTACAATTATATTGAGGTTTGATAGTAATCAAAATCATATGGTATTGGCATAAATATTCAAAAATTGATCAATGGAACAGAATAGAAGGCCCAGAAATAAATTCAAACTTACACAACCAACTAGTTTTTGGAAGGGCAACCTACAGACTGAGAAGTTGCAAATCACATCCGATATCCTTATCCAAAATTTATGAAGAACTCCTATAAATAACAGAAAAACAACCCAATCAACAAATGGGCAAAGACTACTTACAACAGCAAAGTCATAGAACCAACCTAAGTATCCATCAACACTTGATTGGATAAAGAATATGTGGTATATATACATCATGAAATATTGTGGCCATAAAAAAAAGTACGAAGTCCTGCCCTTTGCAGCAACATGGATGGAGATGGAGGTCATTATCCTAAGTGAACACCAACCCCAGAAGAATCAAAATATTACATCAAGTGGGAGCTAAACAAGTGGTATACATAAAGAATACAGTATGAGGACTTTTAAAGGTATTGAATGAGGGTTGAACACTTACCAACTGGGTACAGTATTCAACATTTGTGTGATGGGTACACTAGAAACCCAACCCCTACCATTATGCAAGTAATACCCATGTAATAAAGCATGTGTACCCCTTAAATCTAAAATTTTTAAAAATGTAACAAAGGACCCAACAGACATTTCTCCAAAGAGGTTAAAAGGGCCAACACATATGAAGATGTGTTCGACATTAATCACAAGTGCAAATTAAAACTACTATGAGATACTACTTCACACTCTTAAGGATGGCTATTATCAAAAAGAAAGTAAGTATTGGCAAGGATGTGGAGGAAAAAAGGTCACATATATACTGTTGGTGGAAATTTAGATTAGTACAACCATTATGGAAAATAGAGATCCCTAAAGACATTTAAAAACAAAACTACCATGTGACCCAATAATCCATCTCCTGAGTAATACCCAAAGGAGATAAAAATCACAGCCTCAAAGATACCTGTACTCTCATGTTCATCACAGCACTATTCACAATAGCCAAGACATAAAAACAACCTAAAGTCCCTCAATTGACAAATTAATAAAATGAGATATACATAATGGGTTATTCAGCCTTAAAAACGGAGGAAACCCTGCCATCTGTTACAACACGAATAGACTTGGAGGACATTATGCTAAATGAAATAAGCCAGACACGGAAAGAGGAATATTGCATAATCTTATTTACATGTGGAATATATATGTATGTATAGACACAAAACAGAACCCAAGGATTATTTTATGTGTCTGAGTAACAGACCAGAGGCTATTTCCATAGCAACACATACTCTGCAATTTATAAATTGCAGTATGTAGGAGAGAACTGAAAAAGCCTCTGGAAACTAAAAGTTTTTCAAAGAATGCTTTTAATACCCGAAATTGGCAAGTTCCCTCTCATGATAAACAGAGGCTACGGTTATTTAAATGACTGTTTTAAGTATCTGGGGGGCTATTGTAATCCTCATTAAACTTTCATGAACCGTAAGGACCTCCTTACTCTTAAAATGAACATGCTGTGAAGAAAGTCATTGCAAAATACCTAGACTGTGACAGACATTAACCTCTTACATCAATAGCATCTACTTTCACCAAACTCCAATAAACCTAGAAATTCTTAACTGGAAGCATTTTTTCTGCTGCAATGAAGTTTGCTTTTGTGAACCTATGAATCTAATCTCTTTCCCTCTTCCAAACAAAATCCTAAACCAGATACATTTTTCTCTCATTTTCACCAGGGTCCCAAATTGAGTAAACTCTTTACTCAAATTCTTGATAGCTAGTGGTTGTTCCCTCAGGAAAGCAAGCACACAAAAGACGTGACTAACTCTGGTCAAAATATTTTCTGTAGTTGACCTGTGCATGATTTTCTCAGGTAACGCCTGCAGTAACAGATGTTTATAAATGGAATTCTCGACCCAATCTGTGGTTTTGAAAGCTTGTGCATTTTTAGGCCACTTCCAATGATGTGCCTTAAAGTGTGTACCTTAGGGCTCTGGGTTACAATCAGGAGAACTTATTTGAGGCTCTGCTGTGCCATTCACAATCTCATATCCCCCTCAAAGTCAATATTTCCCCTAGGCCTCAGTTTATGTGTAAGATTAGACTAGAAGCTCTCTAAGATTCTAATTCTAAATGTTCTATGACACTCATCCTAACCCTCCCCCCCTCAAGGAGAAGTTACTCAAGAGGTACAGTACGTTTGTCATAAATGACTAATGACTCAAACCACAAGGAATGGTTCCTGACTCACTGTCAGGTTTTACTATTAGTCACCCCGTAGGTGGCAAAATGAGACAAAACTAGAATTCTCCTTCAAGGATAATTTGGCTTTATGAAGGACTGAGTGTTAGGTTTGTAGAAACTTCCAATTGCAGAGCGAGCTGTACACACAGGGACTCCAGACAGGGACCTGCAATGCAGGGAGATGGTGGTGACTCCGATAGTAAGGGCTAAACAATGCAAAACTGCGAGTTCCTTTTTCCCCCCACTGCGCCACTTGTTTTTTGAAAGGGTCTCTCCCCTCTGTTACCCAGGCTGGAGTGCAGTTACACAACCTTGGCTCGCTGCAACCTCTGCCTGCCGAGTTCAAACCATGCTCCTGCCTCAGCCGCCTGTGTGCATGTTTTATAGAGGGTTCCGATTTCAATCCTGCTGTAATCAAAATGGTCAACACAAAAGCAGTTTTCAAAAATATTTTGAAAAATATTTTCTGTAACTTGCTCTGGAGACCAATAGTAGCAACTCATGGCATGGAGACAGGAGCCCACAACATGACTATAGATGAACCATTTCAAGGCAACCGTCTCTTCCAGGTCAAAAGTCATCTTTCCTGTTTAACTCTGGTTCATTGGGAGAAAGGGCCGGTAAAGTTGAAACCCTCCTTTCCTGGCTGTTTCTCTATAGTCTTTCTTTTCTTTCCCCTTACTCTCAAGAGGATTGCTGGGTGAAGAAAAGTCACCAGCAAATCTTAATGATGTGTGTGAAGTCATTCTCTGGTCCCTCTAGTCTCCTCTCTAAAGTGAGTGATCTGGCCTGTTATCCCAGAGCTTTGGGAGGCTGAAGTGGGAAGATCCCTTGAGCTTAGAGTTCAGGGCTGCACCGAGCCATGATCACACCACTACACTTCACCCTGAGTGACAGAGCCACAACATGTGAATGATTTGGTTAAATTTTAGGGGTACCTGCTATGGGGTCAGCCTTAGACTGACTGATCATGCCTCCGACTGAGCAGGAGGGCCAACTGTCTGGCAGTCACTTCTACTTGTTTCTAGTCATTTGCCTCCAGTGAAAAGCTCCCCCTTTCTCTGCAGTCCCCCGTCCTACTGAGGCCTACTACAGGTCATCAAGCTGTGTGTACAGCTTGGTATTCTCCTGCTCAAAGCACATGGAAACTCCAGGTATTATAACCGACAGTGCCATCTGTGGGGGTGTATTAGTCTGTTTTCATACTGCTATAAAGACTACCTGAGACTGGGTAATTTATAAAGAAAGGAGGTTTAAATTGACTCAACACGGCCAAGGAGGCCTCAGGCAACTTACAATCATGGCACAAGGCGAAGGGGAAGCAAGACACATCATACATGGTGGCAGGCAAGAGACAGTGAAGGGAAACTACCACAATTAAACCAGATCTTTTAAGAACTCTCTCGAGAATAGCAAGGGGGAAAATCTACCCTCATAATCCAATCACCTCCCCCCAGGTCTCTCCCCTGACATGTGGGGATGATTTGACATGAGATTTGGGTGGGGACACAGAGCCAAACCCTATCAGGGCATTATTTCAAAAACCTTTCCTAGGACACCATCTTCCCACCTTGCTTTGTATGGCTTTCATGCCATCAGGAAACTGGTATGAAGGTGGTACCCTCATTGGAGGGTTCTGATACAGTTTGTTGCTCACATTCCCCTTTGAGTAAGTCACATGGGCATGGCATGCACTGGGTCCTCTCTCTAGGTCCAGCTCCTGGCACTGAACCTTGATACGCCACTACCAGTTCCTTGGACTCCTACCTTTTCAACAGCAATCTTTCTCTTTCTGGATGATCGAGCCATCTCATACAACCTGCCCAACCTATAGTATCACTTATGGTGAAATCCCATTCTCTGAATCATCCTGGCTTAGGAGGTCTTGAAGTCCAAAAGCAAGGTTTGGAATTTAGCATATCCTCTTATTGCCCAAGTCTATTCATCTGTCAAAGCTATTTCATCACTGAACTTAACACTTTTAGCTCAAAGACAAAAGCAGAATACTAATGCTGGTTCTTCCTCATCTTTTAACAATCCCAGTTTTTCCTTGATGCAGCAGATGCCTTTGGTAACAGGGAAACCATGACACTGATCGGGTGCTTACCATGTGCTATGGCTTTGTTGTAAGCAATTTATATAATTACTCAGTTAATTCTTTCAAACATCCTAGGAGAAAGCTACCATTATTACCCCCATTCTATAGAGGTCACTGAGGCTTAAATGGGTTAGACAGCTTAAGTGCAGTCATCAAGCAAGTGATGGAGCTAGTGTCTTCAGTAAAGAGGGCAATGGCAGCAGCCACCCAAGAGCTAGGATGACTTCATTTGTTTCCTATATGTAGTTAGCTAATTACTTAATCATTTAGTATATAGCAAACTATTCTCATCCTTTGGGCTTCACACTTTTAAAGTAGAAAGGGCACCTCCATCTCTTGTATAAGCCAAAGAGGAGCTACTCAGGTTGAAGAAGGAAAGGGTAAGGGGGTCTCTGGGGATGCCTGTGGGTTTAGGATACAGACTGGTCCAGTTTACCTCCTCCAAAGCCACTCTGCTGAGCATAACTCTTATCAGAAATCCATTTGAGTAACCCCTCCCCTGTGGGTGGCCTCCACATGATCAAAATACCTCCTGACATGTCAAAACCAGATTGCCTGGACTGAGCTGGATCGCACAGCATCCAGTTCAGTTTTTGAATTGTTGGGGTTCTGGTAGTGCATCTTTGAGAAGTGGGTTGTAACTTTGTAATTTCATTCCACTTGACACTCTAGTACTTCCCTCCACTTTTGGAGGCCTGCAGGGATCTTTTGAAGCAGCAGGTGCCAAGTGGAAACAAACACACTGACTTTGTTCCAAGGGCACATTGTTTAGCTGTTATGTTGCCTTGGTTTGCCGTTTTGTAACAGTATGGTGTTTTTCTGTTCACAGTCTAAATCCCCTTTTTCCTTGAGCCATGAATTGTTTAGCTCCTAACAGCTTTTCTGTGTCCAGCTCTGACCCACTCACTTCCTGATAAACCTGACGTTCGAATCATGAGTGTCGGCTCACACACATTAGAAGACCGCATGCCCTGAGGGCAATGACCGTTTTGGTCCCCAATATATCCCCAGCACTTAGTACACTGTGAGCCATATAGTAAACAGTCAACTTGTACTTTTTTGAATTAACTCGTGGCACTAGCTTATGCTTTTAAACAGATGATTTAAATGTCAATACAGTAATTATCCTGAAGAAAGAGATGTGGTCTTACATGCATAATCTACAAGAAGGAAATCTTGATCATCACGGATTTTGTTTGCAAATCTTCAAAATAGTAGGGGAATTTAGTGATTTGATGAATCACAGAATTAATTGCTTGCTCTGCCCAACTTCAATTACTCAATTTCTTGTCCAGTATGTTAAAGATGTCTTTGGCAGTTTGACACTTTGTTTTACATTTTAAATAGCAGGTCAACTCGACTTCCATTGTAAACCAGGAACCATAATGGTTCAATTTGACAGGGGAAATTTAGTTACCTTAGAATACATACCCCAAATATAAGCAAATTCAAAGCAAATTTATAACCTAGAAAAATATTCAAGTTTTCCGTATTTACCAATATAGTTTTCTTTGAAAATAAAGTCATCAACTATCAATGTTTTTAATAACATTAAAATGGCAAATGATATGACAAGCTACTATTTTTAGTTCCTCTGGGAAATCTGGAGACATTCACTCAACTATCACAAAGTACAGCTCCCTTAAAACTAAAACGCAAACACTTTTGTTTTTGTCGTGTTTGTCATTATAGAAGTTTGTGAGTTAAGTGCCTTTTTAAAAAAAACACTGATGTGGTTGAGTATTTTTAAATACATCAGTTCAGTATTCAAATGACTTCAAATCCTCAACATGCTAGAGACAAACAATTTCACTGTGAAGCTGTGTTCAATCTGTCTACATCCTAATATTTAGAGGTCTGCCTTTTCACTTGCACTGGATTTCAAAGAATATTATCAAGGAAAATAATAAGTATTAAAATACATGAGATGTTTGGACTTTATCTTGTTATCAAGAGTTACCCAAAATAGGAACACTATTCTTTCAGAAAACAATGTCCCTCCTAAAGGCACTATCTACTTGACAATTGTCATAGTGTATTGATTTCTATTTTATATACATCATTTCTCCAACAATATTCACTGTTCTAGTAACAACTAGGTAGATACTATTAGCAATTAAATTCAACTTTCCCACAAACTTACCTGGGCAAAGGGCAAGTGAGAAGCTGAATCGATTCAAAACCACGTTTAGATTTCAGTATCTGGTTGTTCCTTTAGCCATTTTGCTTCTACATACAAATTGTTAATTCACTGTTTAATCATGTCACACGTAAATTGTGCATTAAATATTTTAACCACTACACTAATTCATCCATTTTGTCACACAGTGGCTGTATTACATGTTACAAATATACTTTGAAAGACACAGCTATTTTCTTTGTGTACCACTAATTCCCTATCACAATTTTTTCCAGCCATTTAAATTACTACCCCCGGGAAAGGCATGATCTTTCATATAAATACCACGAAATTGGAGGGACACCATTGCTCCACAAAACAAATTTTCATTAAGAAAATAAAGTTGACCAAAAAAAAAAAAAAAAAAACCCAAACCCACACTGATCTTTCAGCTGGTATCTCTGAAGCTGCAAAGCTTTATTTGCAATTTACAATGTCTTTTGAAAAGGCCACAATTCATCGAAATGCCACATTCCGAGTTTTCCTTCTGTTGACTTTTAAAAAAGTTTTTCGAGTTTCTAAGACATGGGGTTTCAGGGCATTAATGTGGCCACATACACTGGTGGTTTAGGACAGTGACTCTGTTTGGAGGGTGGAGCTCCCTTCTGCCTTCTTTAAGGAGCCCTGAGGAGCAAGTAAAGCAGGTCAGGAGGCACAGCTGAGTTAGGAACACTGACAGAGAACTTAAGTTTCTCTCTTTTGGCAGCGGTGAGTGCAGCAAGTGTCCATCGCTTCTTGGAAAGTAGCCTGAACAACTGTGGGATTCTCCTTTTTGCATCTGTTTTAGTCGTCATGATGATACTGTGTTTATTAATTTTTATATTCAGGGAGTAAATGTGCAGGTCTGTTACATGGACATGTTGTGATGAAGTCTGAGAGATGAATGATCCCGTCAGCCAGGTAGTGAGCACAGTAACCAACAAGTAAACTCAGCCATTGCATTTAGTCTAAAAAGGTGGTGAGAAATTAATATACCCGAATACGCGAGTCAGGAGATGGGGTATCTTACTGAAGAGAAGGTAAATGAATCTCGAACTCTAATCATATCCCTGTAAAATTCAGAAAGCAGAGCTGCGTTTAGCATTGCTTTCATTTTTATTTCACGAGCGATTTCCACTAGGACCCATGGATACTATTGTACTACGGACCAGTACTTCCAGGGGATTTATTTGCAGGGATGGATTAACAACGATTGGTCCGAAATCTCTGAAAGACCCTGCCCATACCAACATCTCTTTCCCACCCACAACTTTCTCTATGTTCTGGTTACAAGCCTTTTCTTACCTACTTCTAAACTCAGTGTTTTAGCACGTGACGTTCCATGAAATTAGAGGACACTTATTTGTCTTAAAATTGGGCCTTAAGTGTTACTTCCTCAATGGAAATGACGTAAACCACAAAGTTACATGCAATCCCATTGTTTGCTGTTGTAGTACCATATATGTGGTAGGCAGAATCATTACACATAGATCAACTATCATTAAGTAACAAAGTTTAATGCCTTCCTCCGTGACAGAATACAAGCTTCTTGTAGAAAACTCACCATCCACGTGTTCCCATTACTGCAAGTTTCCACCATGAAAATCCTCTTAATAGTGTATTGGATTAGCTCAGTACTCAATGTCTTCAACTATGCCGTGGGCCAGATGAGGATAGGGCTTCCTTGTCCATATCTTCAACCTTTCGTCCAGGGGCAGGTCATATGAAAGGAGACATCTACAATGAATGTTTAGTGAATGAATGAAACTTGAACTCAGGCTCACTGCAGCTGCCATAGTTCAGACCTTAACGCTGTGGTATTGGAGCATTGAAGGATTTCCCATCCTCAGAACTACTAACATTTGAGCCAGATATTTGTGGTGTGTGTATGTAGGGGGAAGGAGGCTGTTCCATTGACTGTAGGTTGTGTTACCTGTATCCCTATCTTCTATCCACTAGATGCCAGTAGCACCTCCCTCCAATTCTAACAATCACAAATGTCTCTAGGTATTGTCAAATGTGGTCTTGGGTGTCAAAATTTCTCACTCAAGAAGCATAGGAGAAAGCAATCTGATGATATTTGTCTGCCTCCTAATATGTGTCACAATGCCAGTGACAATCTTTCTAGAATAAAAATGCCAGTAATGACTGCCTCGCTGCCTTTTACTGAGTTACCACATATATAGAATTTATAATTTGCACTTTAAATAATGGCATTGTCAAAAGCAGGTCCTGAGAAATCAGCACTGTACTGTCTTCTGCCCTGAATTGCTACTCTGACTTTCAATAAGTGCATTGACCTCCCTAGGTTCCAAGTTCCTCATTTCAAGAGCTAGGCTAAATTACTTATTCTTTTTACTCTAAAAATCCTCAGATTCTTTATGTAATTCCATTACCCACACAAATTGGCAAACACTATACATTAGCATGATGTTCAGGCAAATTCTCTTTAGGTACTTAAAATCTTATCTGCTCCAGAACGCTAAGAACTCACTCAGTCCAAGCATTCTTTTGGGGTACCATGAAACCCTACACAAAATTTTGTACATGTTATTTTGAAAATAAAGTTTGTTACTTTTAGACTAGATCTTTAGTAGAGCGCTGTCGTTAAAAGAGGAGATCCTGAATCTTACTATCTCACGGTTCTGTGACCTTTGGGAAGTGAATCAACTTTCCTAAACCCAATTCTCCCCATATGTAGATTAGGAATAATGCATGTGATGTTGTGAATTTTAGCATTTTAGGATTTGACAATGTCTGTTGCATACCAAGTGTTCGATACATTTTAACATTTTCCCTAATTCTAAGTACTTTTTAGCAATGATCACTGTACTGTAAAATCAGAAGCTTCTTTTTCTTTGTGGCACATAAGAATTGTTCACCTTGCAATCACTGACATGGATTGGAGGCACTGTATTATGAGCTTTTCAGTGGACATATCTTAGGGGTACCCAACATAGGAGGTCAATATAAAATGAGCTATCATTGGTGTATATGCACATGTATGCAATATGTACATACCTTTTTCTAACTGATGAAAAATGTCATTAGCCTACATAGAAAACAAGTGACTTCTTGTTTACGATCTAGATGGAAGATTCAAAAGTTATCCTGATTTGCATAGGATGTCCTTTAGTTGTAACATTTAATATTATAACTCAAAGATGCTAAATAAAATGTCACCGATTTGGCCAATTACCCAAAGGGGCACACATTTATTCAGATTTTTCCAAACTAAAGAAATTAAGGCCTGAAGATGCTACAACAGAACCTGAAGCTATCTTTTCCCCCAGGCTGCTTAATTACACTCTTAAAATGATTAGTTGAAGCAATTTGTGTGCAAAGCACATCCTAGCATACAATGCCTTTATATTGTCATGTGGTTGCTTAGCTCAACATACCCTGACTTGTTAATAACCCATTATTAAAAGATGTGGGCACACAACAATGAATGAAATGTTGATTCAAGATGTGTCAGTACATTCAGAAATATTTATGACATTAAGATATTAAATGCAATTTAAAGTAGAATTTATTGACTGACTAATTCTCTAGTTGGTCTGAAAAACATCCAGGCATTTTAAAACTTACCAATGGCCTCAGCTTATACCAATTAAATCAGATGAGGTAAGATTTCTGCATAGCAATGTCTGGGCTGCCCAGGTGATTAATATCAGCCAAGGTGGAGAACTAATGAGCTAAGTTCATAAATAGTATTTTCAGGAACACAGGAAAAAAAAAAGTGTACCCAAATCCAAAATACATACCGAGTTCAAGTTTCCATATTAAAGGAAATTATACCCATGGGGTTAGGTGTCAACGGAGACAAGCCCTCTTGTGTTTGCTGGCTTGTCTAATATGTTTGGGTACAAGGAGTCAACTTCAGTTTTAAAACTTTTACTAACTTTTAAAAGTTCATCTCTTTAAAGTTTCCTGAGAAACTGGTGTAAGTAGAGCACTCGTGACAATATTTGTCTCTATATTCCCAAATAGTTTTAAACCCGAAAGACAAACATTTGTAGATATTTAAAATACAAGCCTCCAGCTTATTTGATATCGTTTTTCATGGGAAAACTTTCATTGTTCAGCAAAAAGGCGAAAGTGGTATTTCCCTAGCATTGGTATGATTTCAGCTAGAAAACAGAGGGTGAGAGCTTACCAAAGGGACCTGAGGGAGTAGAAATGAGAATTATGTAACAGAAACCACAGATTTATTAAAGGCAGCCACATGGTACCCACCTGGCTGAAGAAATTTGGATGCTGGTTTGCTTACTGCGCGTTAAAAACCTCAGGAAGTTTGCTCTTTTTTGGTGTTAATTTTGTTATAATCAACTATAAAGATTGCCATGGGAAACTAATTCTATGATTTAGGATTGTTTAGGATAATTTTATAGGAGGTATGCCTTAAGGAAATGCTAAAAAACTTGAAACAGCAGTTAATCACCTCACTCCTGCAGATGGAATTAGTCATAAAGTTTTCACTCATTCTTTTGCAGAAAGTATGAAAATCATCATACATTCTATACATAGAGTGAACTAAATATAATTAGTTTAATTCACACTTAGCAATTATGTAACACTTGCCAACACTGTGCATTTGATTATTCAAGAAGGATCTTTCCTAGTATAGGGTCAAATACAGGCTCTTTGTGACATATTTGCTCCTATAACAACTCAGAAATGTTGGAAATCTTGGGGAAAAAATGTTTGACCTGAACTCTTTTGGTTATGTGGTACAGCCTAGCCTATTTAGCCTTCCTGCAGTACTATGATGGCAAGCTTTGCACCTGATTAGGGCTTTTGAATCTGGCTAGTTCACGTTATTTCAGCTTTCAGCTCACAAACAAGCTCTATACTATAAGGGCATCCTTCTAATCTTACTGCGTTTTTAATTTATTCACAGCAGTTATTCTGATTCTTATTGGTTATCCTTGTTTATGCTCTAGCTCCCCCTACTAGAACGTGGTCTCCAAGAAGTTGTTTTGTCTGTCATGCTCACAGTTGACTTCCTAAGACTTCATATATACACACACACACATACATACATACATACTTGTGTTGGGTAAATAAATGGAAACACTCCTGCTGTGTAGACTGAAAAAGCAGCTGTAAAATCCCCCTTTATATCCTTTTTCAATGCAATTTTGCAGCTCCGCCCCCTTGAGAAGGGGCAATTATTTACCCATTGCTTGAATCTGGGCTAGTTTTATGACTTGCTAGGACTAACAAGTCGCAGAAAATGCTTTTATAGACTCAGAACCCCTCTGTCCCCCCAAAGAGCCCGAGCTAGCCCTGTTGAATTCAGAGCAGCATTATATAGCCTGTAGCCAAAGCCGAGAAGGAGCGCTGCCTACTTGACCTGGAGTCACTGTAAACAGGTGAGTGTAATCCAGCAGAGACCAGAGAACCACCCAACTGGCTCAGAGTTAGTAAACCAACAAAGCATTGTTGCTTCAAAATGCTAACTTTTGATGGGGATGTGTGATGCTGCCATAGAAAAAAACCTAAGACATGTGGTATTGAGAGGTAGGTGAAAAGTAAGGAAAATGTTAGCCAGAGCTGGAGGAAAAAAAAAAAAAAACTGGCAAGAGACTTGGTTAATAAAACCTGGAAAAGGGGTTAACAAAATTTTATCATTCCTGAAAAATGGTGACCTGTGGTTAGACAACAGGGAGGAAAAACAAAAAAACAATTTCCAAAGTTGTCACTTGCGGTGAGTGGAAAATAGCAACAACGTACTTAATGAAGCGTTGGTGAGGTTAGAAAGTTAATGCAGGAACAGAAAACCAAATACTGCATGTTCTCACCTGTAAGTGGAAGCTAAACATTGAGTACACATGAACGCAAGGATGGGAACAATGATCACTGGGAGTTACTTGAAAGCGGAGGGTGGGAGGGTGAGGATTAAAAAGCTACCTATGAGATATACTACATGCTTATTACCTGACAGAATAATTTGTACCCCAAACCCCAGTGACGCAATGTTTGTCCATGCAACAACCTGTACCTAACATATATCCCCTAAACCTAACACAAAAAAGCCCTAAACACCATATCAAGATCTACGTCACTTGAACTTTCTGAATTTGAGAAGCTTCGGGCAAGAATAAGAGATGCTGAAGGTAAATTCAGCACATCTGAATGAAAAATTAAGTGATACACATTCTGATATTGGTCAATCCCAGATGACAGGCTTTGTGAGGGAGATGAATGATCAAATTGACTACATTTGGTTTAATTTTGGCTTCTCAATTACTTGTCAACTGAGATTTAAAACAAATGACTTCAATGTACAGTGATCTTTTGATAACTGTCCTAAAAGCAATCAAGTTTGACATGCTTTTAATTTTATACACATTTGTAGTTCCTTAGATGTTAGCCTTAAGGCTTAGAAATCTATCAACTTATTTAATATAAAGTGTTTACAAAGTATCTGTTTTGTTGTTTCATTGTATTTATCAGGTGATTTCAATTGAGCATCTTAATACTTTTTCCCCCAAGCTAGTCCATTTGGTTTTGTATATTCATCCTAAAGTGATCCCATAGTACTTATCTACTGCTAGAAAAATGGAAAGAAAATGCACTTTTTATTTCCTATTCAGTCAACCATTACAAGAATTACAAACGCTGACATCTCCCGAAGTTGGGTAAAAATATCAATTTAATGTAAGGATGGGGAAACAAAAAACACAGAATGTAAAACTTCAAAACTCTTAGTTTCACTAGCGTTATCTGTT